CGAATCTTTTGCCCATCCTCCTCACACGATCCCGGTGCTCCACGGGGGCCCGCGGCGGCGGCGGCGCCGCCGCCGCTGGGTCTCCCGGGGCCGGCCTCCGAGGGACTGCCCCGGCGCCTCGAGCGTCCCAGGCGCGCCGCGGCTCGGCGTTGCGCCTCCGCGGGGGCAACGGCGCTATCCGCGGGCACGTCGTTCTGGAACTGCAGCTTCGGCGCGTTGCCGATCCAGGCCGCCACCTGCCTCGTCTTGAGCAGCGCGAGGGAGTAGAGGCCGACCACCGGCTTCGGCACGTCATGGAGTCTGCGCCCCCTCTTGGCAGCCTGGTCCGCCGAGTCGTCGCAGCGCTTCTCCCATCAGTCATCCTTCCGATGCCCCTTGGCATACTTGAAGACGACGGGAGCTTCATCTCCTGAACAACTGGCACCTCCATGGTCATCGATACGGTGGAACAACTGCTTCCATTGATCCACGTTCTCACGTCGAGCTCCAGTGCACCAACGACGGCCCTTACGCAACCCGTCGATCAGTGGCTGGTAGTCGGTATGAATCCGAAGTGGAGCAAACCTAACCGTCAACACCTGAATCATTGCATACAACTCTGCACTACCAGATGTCTGGCGCGGGCCTGGCAGCGGTTCAAAAGCAGCTCCGAAGTACCGAGAGTCACCAACCACCGCAAATCCCCATCCAGATTTAGAAGCCGCATCCCAGTGGAGAAGCTTCGCACAAGATCCATCAGTAAGTACATCACCTGTGGCAACAAATGGATCACCAAGCGGCCTCTCTCGAGCGGCCCTGTCGTAGTGCCACCGTCCAGAGTCATCCCGTGCACACTGCGCGCAGGCGGGCCGCAATGGCAGGCAACCAGCACCCCGAGCCGACCCCTTACGGGAGGAAGCGGGCCCGAAGGCGCGCGCACCGACGAGCAGGGGATAGGCGGCTACCTTGTCGCCCAGCGACTTGCCTCCAGCCGAGAAGGCCTGGTGCGTAGGGGGACCATCGGTTCACCTCGTCACTGCGAGGCACCTCCCGCCTTTCAACCCCTGCCAAATCAGCTGGCATGCGCAACTGGGCTTGTTCCCCAGCGTGAACGGGAACAAGGCCACCATGGGACTTACGGGCCATATGGCCCCGCCTCACAACCAAATGCGCACTCCCCCATGCCTGGTACCCATTTCCAGGTCACGGAGCGTGGCCAGCGCCGCTGCGACGGTCAAAGTGCCATGTTGCTGGTTCCAAGAAACGCGAACCCGATTAGCTGCCCCCAGTCGTCGCATGCAGTCGACTCTGACGGTGTGCCCCGAAGAGTGTGTGGCGCTGATGCCATGAGAACAGGTACCAGGCCCCCACCCTCGGGGCCGGAGGAGCAGGAGGCGGAGGAGGAGGAGGAGGAGGAGGAGGAGGAGGCGGAGAAGGAGGAGGAGGAGGAGGAGGAACATATCAAGAGTCAGGAGAAGCAGCAGCAGGAGCCGGACCGATGAGCTCGGAGTTCGAAGCCGCCCGGCTGGGCTGCTTCCTGCCACGCTCTCTCTCATGGCGACAACATCGCAGAGCGGATTTCGTGCGGAAAACGATGGGGTGGGTCTGGATTGTCCTGGAGAATGTCGTTCCGGATTTCGAGGTGAATTTCGTGCGGATTTTGTTTGGCAGGAATGAATTCAAACAAACATTCCACGCGAAACCCACTTCGTTTTTCACTCGCCGCTTCGGGGCTTTGTATCGACAGAAATCCACTCACAAATCCGCTGCAGCACGTGTGCAAGGTCGGTGCAGTAATCTCTCCCCCCCGAGTTCCACCGAAGCCCAGCCCAGGGAGAGCGCGGATATCGCATCATGGGGGCAACCTTCGGGGGGCCCGCGGCAACGTTAGGGGGTCGATTACACGTAAGAGTGACCTTTCGCCGGAGTGCCCTTTGGTGTGGGCCCATTGGGGTCCCCCGATGGGCGAATGCGATGCGACAGCTGCGTCTTGCGCGCTTGGCTTTGGCCCCTGCGCGGCCCCCCGAAAACCGCGCACCAGACGCCTTGTTTTCCCAGGGCCGCTCTTCCGTGCCGCCGCGAGGGGGCTCGCGGCAACGTGACGGGGGGGCATGCGGTGGGGGCGTCCGTTGCGGAAGGTGCCCGGGGGGGCTGGGCTCTGGAGGACTCCTTGCGTGGTAGGGGCGGCGATGACATCCGTGGCCGAGCCTCCACTGGTGGTCCACCGGCTTCCACCTGGCATCGCTCGGACGTGTGTGTGTGTGTGTGTGTGTGTGTGTGTGTGTGTGTGTGTTTCTCGGCGAGGCCAGCGCAGGGAGTTTTGGACCATCGAGGAGCACCTTGGACCACCCCGGGAAGCAGAAGCAGGTGCGAAACCGAACAACGCACAGAGATTGCACGTCCGAGCGATGGCAGGTTCCAGCCCCTGGAATCGTTACCTGGAGCTTCCTTATCCAGCGTCCGCACCGGAGCCCAGCCTGCCGGCTTCTTCTCTCAAGCCCTGCTGGCTCCCTCCAGGAACCATCCGGGAAGGTAGCGCCTGGCTCGGGTCAGCACACCCGGGCTCCGGGCTCCCGCCCCCCCGGGCCGCACGCGCTGGAGTCTCGCCCCCCGGGCCGCACCCGCAGATCAACGACCGGCGGATCGGCGGATGCCGGGGCCCGGGGCTTGCGGGCGGTCTCGACGATCCTCGGCGGCTTCCTCCCAGCCTCGGGGTGCTCTCTCTCTCTCTCTCTCTCTCTCTCTCTCTCTCTCCAGCAGCTGAGCCTCCCAGAGGGGCGTGCGCGGGTGCCCGGATCGCCCCCAGCGGCCGCCGGACCGCCGAGTTGGGGCCCGAAAAGGAGAGGGGCAGCGTCAGAGGGGGAGAGGCTCAGGAGGAGGAGGAGGAGGAGGAGGAGGAGGAGGAGGAGGAGGAGGAGGAGGAGGAGGAGGAGGAGGAGGGGGATAGGCTCAGGGATGGACGCTTCGACCCCCAGTCGCCCACTGATCACCGACGGGGGCCCCATAGCCCTCCCCGCCCAGGGCCGTGCGCAGTCACTGTCGGGGCCTATCGCCGAGCTATCGGCGATGTGTCGGTGAAATCCGTGTCGATGTTTCCCTCCCTGAGCTTGCCCCCCCCCCCCCCCCCTGACGTTGCCCCTCCAGAGCCAAAATACCACGGTGCCCGCGAGGCCTTCAAGAGACCAAGTGAGATGATAGCACTCCCCTACCCTGGAAGTGTTGCAGTCGAAATCGACAGCAAGGATGGGCAACCTTCCCAAGGGTACCCGTGCATCCTTGCCTCCTCGGTCCATCCTGGACCCCTTTCGATTGCCAGCCCCGCTCGAAAAGCTTTGACACGTGTGTCCAAGGGGCTTGCATCCCTCTCTCGCATCCTTATAGTCAGTTTTGACTGTAGCGCTTCCCCGCCTTGGAAGTTCGGCTCCTGCGGTGTTCCTGGTTTGGCCTGCGGCCTTCTGGCTCGCCCCGCGGTCGAGGCCGAGTCGGGTAAAGCTCTGTAGTCGAGCCCTCTCCTCTGGCGACGACATCTGTACGCATCCGCTGCCCCCTGGACAGGCCCCTCCTGGGCCCAGGAGCTGTGTACACGCCTCCCTCAAGGAGGCCAGGAAGGCGTGGCGTGTATACGCCGCTGCTGGGCTCAGGGTAGGCCTGGCCAGGGAGCAGTGGCTCTGTTTGAAAGAGCGTGTTCTACCGCTGCTGGCGGAAAACCGGCCCCCCCCCCCTCTGGAAAACCGGGGGGGGTCACTACCGGTTCGAACCCCTCCCCCCCCCCCCAGTTCCGGGGGGGGTCACTACCGGTTCGGCCCCTCCTTCCACGCCTCCCTCCCAGGAACAAAGGCCTAGTGGCTCCGTGTTCTATGGCGGAAAACCGGCCCCCCCCCCCTCTGGAAAACCGGGGGGGGTCACTACCGGTTCGAACCCGAAGTTCGTTCCGGGAACCCCCCCCCCCCCCCTCGAAAACCGAGGGGTGGTGCGGACAGTGGTGGGGACGGTGGTGGTGGGGACAGTGGTGAGGGGACAACGGGACAGTGGTGGGGACAGTGGGACAGGGTGGGGACGGTAGTGGTGGGGACAATGGTGAGGACAATGGTGGGAACAGTGGGGACAGTGGGACAGTGGTGGGGACGGTGGTGGTGGGGACAGTGGTGTGGGGACAGTGGGAATGTGGTGGAAACAGTGGGACAGTGGAGGGTACAGTGGTGGTGGGGACAGTGGTGAAGGCGGTGGCGAGGACGGCGGTGGGACACATGGGACAGACAGGTGGGACAGTGTGGGACCAGTGGTGGGGACAGTGGGGACAGTGGTGGGAACAGTGGGACAGCTCAGTGGGACAGCGGAGGAGTCAGTGGGACAGTGGGGACAGTGGGGATAGTGGGGCCGTGGAGAAAGTTGGGAGAGTGGAACCGTGGTGGGAACAGTGGTGGGGACAGTGGGGACAGTGCGACAGTGGTGGTGGCACTGGTGGGGACAGTAGGGGCGGTGGTGGAACCAGTGGGGACAGTGGTGGTGAGGACAGTGGCGCTGGGAACAACAGTGGGGGATGTGGTGAGGACGGTGGTAGGGACCGGGAGTCGTTTGCTGGCGGTGCGAGGGGGGGGTGGGGAGGGGCGTTCGAACCGGTAACCCCCCCCTCGGTTTTCGAGGGGGGGGGGGGGTCGAACCGGTAGTGAACCCCCCGGTTTTCGAGTTCGAGGGGGGGGGGGGGGTTTGTGGGGGGGGGGGTTGTTAGGGGAGGGGGGGTTTTGCCGGGGAGGTGGGGGGGGGGGAGGGGTTCCAGCAGAGGGAGGAGGGATTTTCGGGAGGGGGGGGGGGTGGGGGGGGGCGACCTGGGTTCCGGAGGAAAAGGGCGGCAACTTTCCACAGTAAAGCGGCGGTTGATCACGCTCTCTCCTCTGTTTTGATCTCGTCGCGCTCCCTCCTCACAACACATAGCAGTGCGGACGATGGCCTCGCCTCGAACCCTCGCCCGCCCTCTGGGCCGCCAAGCAACGACCTGGGAGGAGACACTGGTCCCGGGGGGGATGGGCCGAGGCCTCCTCGTCCTCCTCCTCCACGTCCTCCTCCTCCTCAGGCGGGCGTCCGTGCCGGAACCGTCACGGGACAGCGCCGCACTCCCGACCGGCGCGTGCGACCGCAGGCAGAAAATCCCTCTGCAGAGCGTGACGCAGCAGGGCGGCGGACAGTCAGACGGAGGAGCAGCGTTGAGAGC